ATATCTTGGGAACAGTGCAGCAATATTCTGGGAACAGTACAGCAATATTCTGGGAACAGTACAGCAATATTCTGGGAACAGTACAGCAATATTCTGGGAACAGTACAGCAATATCCTGGGAACAGTACAGCAATATTCTGGAAACTACATCAGTATTCTGGGAACAGTGCAGCAATATTCTGGAAACTACATCAGTATTCTGGGAACAGTGCAGCAATATCCTGGGAACAGTACAGAAATATTTTAGGAACAGTACAGAAATATTCCAGGAACAGTACAGAAATATTCCAGGAACAGTACAGAAATATTTTAGGAACAGTACAGAAATATTCCAGGAACAGTACAGAAATATTTTAGGAACAGTACAGAAATATTCCAGGAACAGTACAGAAATACTTTAGAAACAGTACAGAAATACTTTAGAAACAGTACAGAAATACTTTAAGAATAGTACAAATATATCCCTAGAATAGACCAACAATGTCCCATTCACTATTCAGGAGTATACATTCATACATATCCCAGAAATATCACAACACAAAACACCTCAAATGCCTCAAACACTGTCCCCAGGAACTCCGACAAACCCTTGATCCACAAGACTACCCCACCCACACCCTACCCACAGTGGGGGGGCCCAGGATTCACCATCAGCTGACTCACAGCAATATACTCATCTTTCACTGACAAACTCAACAATGAAATATACTCCTTAACCAAGTTTTCAGTGCACTGTTGACGTGAAGACAGGCAAAAAAATGCTGAACATCTGGAGCGAAACTCCTCTTCATCTCCTCTGCCCTGTCTGGGAGATGTAAAATATCTGTCTGGGGAGATGTAAAATATCTGTCTGGGGAGGGAGATACAAGTTTTCCAGGTCTTGATGAGAAATTGCAAGAGGTAAACTGATTCCACATGAGTTTTTACAGTGTTGGCTAATAGTGAAATTACTGCTGTCTGGATGGGTTCACGATTGCTGTTAACCTACAGGGTAAAAGTCAGGGTTTTCTTAAAGAGGAGCTGGGGCGTGCTTCATTCAGACCCCTAAATACATACAACAATATGTAAACATAAGGATATAGGTCATACTGCAGATGTCATTCAGTCATTCAACATTCTGTATATGTAAACAATGTGTTAATCTCATGAAGTGCTATTGTACACTCCAGTCATTCAACATTCTGTATATGTAAACAATGTGTCAATCTCATGAAGTGCTATTGTACACTCCAGTCATTCAACATTCTGTATATGTAAACAATGTGTCAATCTCATGAAGTGCTATTGTACACTCCAGTCATTCAACATTCTGTATATGTAAACAATGTGTCAATCTCATGAAGTGCTATTGTACACTCCAGTCATTCAACATTCTGTATATGTAAACAATGTGTCAATCTCATGAAGTGCTATTGTACACCCAGTCATTCAACATTCTGTATATGTAAACAATGTGTCAATCTCATGAAGTGCTATTGTATACTCCAGTCATTCAACATTCTGTATATGTAAACAATGTGTCAATCTCATGAAGTGCTATTGTACACTCCAGTCATTCAACATTCTGTATATGTAAACAATGTGTCAATCTCATGAAGTGCTATTGTACACTCCAGTCATTCAACATTCTGTATATGTAAACAATGTGTCAATCTCATGAAGTGCTATTGTACACTCCAGTCATTCAACATTCTGTATATGTAAACAATGTGTCAATCTCATGAAGTGCTATTGTATACTCCAGTCATTCAACATTCTGTATATGTAAACAATGTGTTAATCTCATGAAGTGCTATTGTATACTCCAGTCATTCAACATTCTGTATATGTAAACAATGTGTTGAACTGATGAAATACTATTGTATACTCATTCAACATTCTGCTGGGGCATTCTTAAAGCATTCTTGTCACATGGGTACAATGTTTGAAGCCCATTTCTGGTGTCCCCCGCAGTTATATTGCTGGAATATTGCTAAAAGCAGCGTAAAACCACACCCACGCACTCACTCAGTGTTGAGTGAATGTTTGACGAGTATTTAGATAAGTGAGTGAGTGTTTGGATGAGTGAGTGAGTGATTTGCTTTACACAACTGCGCTCTCTAACCCTGCTTGTATCAAAGGGGGAGGTGGGGTAGCCTAATGGCTGAAGTGTCTGCTCGTCTCACTGAAGACCCGTGTTCAATTCCCCACATGGGTACAATGTGTAAAGCCCATTTTTGGTGTCCCCCGCCGTGATATTGCTGGAATATTGCTAAAAGCAGCGTAAAACCACACTCACGCACTCACTCAATGCGTCAAACTAAGGTTGTTCTATTGTATACACTAGTCATTCAACATTCTGCTGGGGCGATGGGGCAGCCTAGTAATTAAAGCGTTCATTTGTCACAACGAAGACCCAGATTTCATTCCCCACATGGGTACAATGTGTGAACATCAACATCCTGCATGTCTCAAGATTGGGAACACAATTTAAATTCATTCAACTTGTTGACCTCACTCTCACAGCTCTTTCAACAACTTCCTGGAACTATGAAATGAGAACTTAGGACACACATACTAAATGCATCATTTACAAATTTCAGTGTAAGATACAAACACATTTGTGTTGTTCAGTTTATATCTCTTTTATATTGTGTATTGTTTTTTTAAATTTTATTTTGAAATAAATAAAAGCTGGTACCTGTTTAAAGTACAGCCTGTTTAGTATGGGAATGAGAAGGTGTATTTACAAGGCACATGCTTTGTCCTCATCATAAGAGGTTGGCAGAGCTCAGAGACAACTTACAATGCACTAGATCGATTACTGTAGGAAAAGTTAACATTTACATTAAAGATCATACAAAATCAATGCAACTTTTAAACTTGGATCCATTAAAAATGAATAGAATTGGTTTTCAGCAACCCATGAAGATGGTGACTTACGGGGTTGGGTGGTCAGGCTTGCTGACTTGGTTGACCTATGTCATCATATTGTGTGGTCCAGACTCAATGATTCACAGACCGCCGCCATATAGCTGGAATATTGCTGAGGGTGGTGTGACATAATCCTCCGGCACAAATTATCAAATCAAACTTTAAAAGTAACGAAAGAGAAGGTCGTAGTTTAAGATGGAGGTAAATATCAACAAAAACATGACCAGTCAACCTCTCTTGATATCTTGCTAAAAATTTCAAAGTGTCACTGTGCCCTTGAAAATTAAGTGAAGGTCACCAAAATCAACTGGGCCCTGCATCTTCCCTAGATAAAGCTTGGTGTCGAAAACAAAGAAAATCCAGTGAATGGTTCTTGAGATACCAACAAGGGTAAAACGTTAAAGTCCTCTTGTGACCTTGAAATGAAGGTCAAGGTCACAAAATTCATACTGGGATGAACCTAGGTACCAAATATGAAAAGAATCAAGATTCTTAAGATATTCCATTTCGTACGTATGTAATAAAAATAATAATAATAATAGTTCATTTATAAAGCGCATATTTCCATGCACAATGCATGCTCAAAGCGCTGATGTCAGGACGAAAAGGCTTTTTTTAAAAGGTGGGTCTTTAGCGATGTCCGAAAGATTGAAAGTTCTGTACAGAGCCTAATACCAAGATCAGAATGGAGAGCGAATTAGGGGGAAAGGGGTGGGTGAGGATGGGAAGTGTTCTGGAGTTAATGTTATTTTGTTATGTTGACAAATAGGGATTCAGGATTTTTTAACATTGTGTAAACATTAAAGCCACTTTCTCTCCACTGGCCCCGATATCGGGGCTTTACAAGTCAGATTAGCTGATTAAAACTTGTGTACCGTGTCCGTCTTGCTGTTTGAATGATGTACCCTTCACAATGACAACTCAAACAGATTTACATGAAATAAATTCAGGAAAAAATGACAACAATACTATCCACAGAAACTTCACGTACATTACTTCCTTGGAAGACGTTTAATTCCTTTGTTAAATGTAAATATAAACATACCTTTAACAACATGCCCCTGTTTACAAACCTCAATTACATGCCCCTACAAACATTCAAGAAACAGATATGTACTGTTATACAATGAAATGTGCTGTTATACAATGAAATGTGCTGTTACACAATGAAATGTACTGTTATACAATGAAATAAACAAGTTTAGTATTCCCTCCCTGTGTGATAAAACATGTTATCTACACTAGCCTATATACAAGCGTACTTGTCAGTCTCTGAGTGCTGTCACCTGTGAAATAGATTACTCAATTAATTATAATGAGGCATACTTCCATGTCATGTCTGGAGCCCTGTAGTGGGGGGTTGCTGGGACAGTATGGTGAATGTCATGTAACCTGAGACCCCACAGAGCTGGGTGAAGCTATCTACCATCTTCAGGGATTTATCTGTTATTTAAAATGTAGAACCATTGTGGGCAGACTGGGGAAATATTTTGTTACAAATTTGAATTTGTCAAAGGTTGAGTGAGTGAGTGAGTGAGTGGGTGGGTGGGTGTTTAGGTGAGTGAGTTAATGAGTGGCAAGATATTTGGGTGAGTGAGTGAGTATGTTGGTAAGTGAGTCATTGGATATTTGGATGAGTGAGTGACTGAGTGAGTGAGTTTAGTTTTACGCCACACTCAGCAATATTCCAGCTATATGGTATCGGTCTGTAAATAATCGAGTCTGGACCAGACAATCCAGTGATCAACAGCATAAGCATCGTTCTGTGCAATTGGGAACCGATGACATGTGTCAACCAAGTCAGCGAGTCTGACCCCCGATCCCGTTAGTCGCCTCTTACGACAAGCAAGGGTTACTGAAGGCTCATTCAAACCCGGGACCTTCACGGGTCTTGGATGATTGAGTAAATGGGTGGATGGCTGAGTGAGTGGTTGAGTAAATGGGTGAGTGAGTGGGTGGCTGGGTGTATGGGTGAGTGAGTGAGTGGTATTACACACCTACCCTACTAACCCTGCTTCTATCAAAAGATGCAGTGATGGTTTACCATTAAATTCCTTGAGATACAAGTTAACTATAACATTAGTTTTCATCAGAAGAACTTAAACTGGACACTTTCAGATTTTTAACTGGACTTCTCACCTTGGTTACTTTTTAAAATTGAGTGTCTGACCAAACTGCAGCCTCAAGAATGACTGCATCAATCCCCTTAAATCTCTCTTAATTTTGCAACTATATGTTCAATAAATTATGCACTTGAAAATATGCTTTCTTGTTTGCATTTCAATAAACATACATTTAAATTTTTTATACATTCTTATAAAATAATTTAAACATATTTCTCTTGAAGAAAATCAATATGATATAAAATGAAACAAATAAGTCCAGTGTTTACCTTAGTGGCAGAGACATAAAGTATCTACAGTCAATTATGTGGGTTATCATTTGTGATATCTGAAATGTAATAAGGGTGCTTGTGAATAGATTGTCAACCTTGTTATTGGAATAAGTATCAAGTCACAAGCCTCCTTCAAAAAACTTGGAGATAGGACCTGGAATCAGTTCCACACGGAGGCACAGCTGACAGCACAGTTATGACACATAAAATTGACATTAAATTATCAATAGATTAGAAATTCTGCACAATAAGCAAACAAAACAGCTTAATGTACTTTAGTTGACTTAAATATATACATCTTTCCACAGCTTAATGTACTTTAGTTGACTTAAATATATACATCTTTCAAGCCGAGATCAGGGACAGTGGCAACAATTAGCCAGGCTGAGAATTGAGTAGAGGTGAGGTCAGAGGTGAAATTGGGTTTAACGTCGTGCTTGAGAATATTTCGCTAATATGACGACGTGCATGCGTGTGTATGTGTATGTGCGGATGCTTGTACTAGCCAAGACTTAAGCTGGGTTTATAGTGCTAGCCCACTGAGATACCATGCCGCAGTGAAGCATGAATACCCCACTCAGACACATTATACTGACTCCGAGCCGACCAGTCCTTGTTGTACCCATTAATGCTGAGCGCCAGGCAGGGACAAACAAGTACCATATTTTAACGTCGTTTGGTATAACGCGGTCGGGGATCGAACCCGCGACCTCTGGGCGGACGCTCTAACCACTACACCACGGAGGCGGTCATTGAGTAGAGAACTTATCCAGATCCTTCTACGGCAAAGGGACACAATTCAACTTCACAAGTAGACAAGGATTCTACAGTTTCCATTCTAATGCTATGCATCCTAGGTACAGAATCTGTTATAACTATAATGAGATAAAAAAAATCAAAAACTCATGATGGTGGATGAAGCAAGTGACATATATCGACAAGCAAACTTGAGAAAGGCTTGGAAAATGATGACACATGAAAGTTCTTGAAGGACAACAAAATGAGGAAACAGTGGGGCTTCTGAAACAGTTTGTTATCTACATGAAGAGGACTGACTGAGTTTGGTTTTACGCCGCTTTTAGCAATATTCCAGCAACATCACGGCGGGGGACACCAGAAATGGGCTCAACACATTGTACCCATGTGGGGATTCGAACCCGGGTCTTCGGCGTGACGAGCCAACGCTTTGACCACTAGACTACCCAACCGCCCCACATGAAGAGGAAGGGGTACTGGTTATTATCTGGAGCAAGGAGGGGACAGATATAATGTATCTTATCTTTCAGACACACTTAAACACACACTGTGTGAGTACCCTGTGAAAAAACAAATGCAGATGAGATCTCAGAAACCTGGGGAGATCTTGGTTAAAATTGGTCTTCAGCTAGCTATGCTTATCTTAGTGGTGACCGAGGGAATCTAATGGTCGGGCTAGATGACTTGGCTGATGTGTGTCATTGTGTCCAAAATCTAAATCCATGCTCATGATGTCAATCACTGGGTTGTCTGGTCCAGATTTGATTATATACATTCTGCTGCCATATAACTGGAGTATTTCACGCAAAAATTAACTAGGACAATATTTCAAGGTGAAATCCTGGAAAATACTCGATTGGTGGACCTGATAATAAGAACAACTCCTTTCCTCCACTGATGCAAACAGAGTTTTGGCTGATCCAGACAAAAACCATCCTTCAACAAGATTAACACATGTATAAACAGAGTGAATGCTGTTTTATGCCTTTGTCATGACTGTTACAGAAATTTGAGCAGACCAACCAGTGGGTGATAGCATGAACACCAATCCACCTTGCAGTATCATACACACCAGATGACTCTTTCTAATCAACCAATCCTCAATTATTTAAAACCACTCTTACACTTAACATTTGGTACTGGCATCTATTCTTCGCCAGAGCAGTGGGGTAGCCTAGTGGTTAAAGCATCAGCTTGTCATGCTCAAGACCCGGTTCGATTCCCCATTTTGGTACAATGTTTGAAGCCCATGTCTGGTGTCTTCCACCATGCCATTGCTGGAATATTGCTAAAACAGCATAAAACCATGCTTACTCACTTTCTCTTTCTCTCACACTCACTCACTCGGCAGATTTCCCAAAGGATCACAAAGATGAAACACAGGTCTATTACATTAATGATTTTCATAGAAGTAAATCCACATGGCCAGGTCTGGCGCCAAGAGATTATCCGCCATGTCTGGCGCCAACACGGAGACGATACATCACAGACAGACAGTGTACAATCAATAACATGTACAATGTGCAGCATACACAATCTCACATGGAATCGGTATTTTGCTCGAGAACAAATATTCAAACTGTAACAATTGATCATAGTTTTTTTCAGAATCTTTGACATGCAATCCTATTTTCTTTGCATTCGTTTTGCACATAAGTAAAATATTAGGTGCAAATATTATTTTTCATCAGGAGGCAGGGTCGTGTCTTTACAATTAAGTTTATGATCTTCTATTGATCCATTTCAGAACTAATTAGGGTTCATATACCACATAAACAAGCACTGGCCTTGCTGAATTCATAAAGACAGGGGAACGGTCAATAAAGAGACTATCAATTGTCATCAGCTCATACTTGTCAAAGGTTGAAAGGTAATGTAATTCATTATCACACTGGCAGGGTGAGTATAACATGCTAAGTGGGTATAACAGTAATTGAGTGTAATAGTAAGTGGGTATAACAGTAATTGAGTATAATAGTAAATGGGTATAACAGTAATTGAGTATAATAGTAAGTGGGTATAACAGTAATTGAGTATAATAGTAAGTGGGTATAACAGTAATTGAGTATAATAGCAAATGGGTGTGACAGTAATTGAGTATATCGCGAAACTAAAATTTTAGTCACGACGATATTTTGGCAAAGTATTGTACACTGAAGCGGCGATACAATACGTATCATGATACTAAAATATTTAATTCTAACACCAACTTTAAAGCACCTCAAAATCAAAACAAAAGCATTTCAGTCTAAGTAAACTTAGACTCAGTATTATTAGTTACACTGCTAAACTGAGTCTAACAAAACCTACTAGAAGGTCGCTTCAGCTAACCTTTTGGACTGACCAATCAGAATACAGCTTAACAAATCGCGAAAGTTAACATTGGCACATACTGTTTGAAGCCTTACCTAACAAACGCGAACGATTCCGAATGCTATTTTCCGCACGGTCGCTTCCGAGTGATACACGCAATGAGTAAACAGTGGCTCAAAATAGCGAAAATATAAGCAAATAGTAACCATGTCATTAGAAACCCATAAGCGTATACACTGCAGGTCTAATGTCTGTGTTTTATGCAGATTTCCGTTTGTTGATAGATCAGTGTTAGCAACCAGGGAAGAGAAAATCCAAAAACTGTTTTGTAAGTCCCATCGAACTCTAACAAGTAGTCGTCCGTCTCACATTTGATTGGACAGTCATAGGTCGCTCAAAGGTTAGCTGACGTGACCTTCTACTAGGTTTTGTTAGACTCAGTATAGCAGTGTAACGAATAATACTGAGCCTAAGTTTATTCAGACTGAAACCATTTTAAAGTATTTCGTCAAATTCCACCAACGTTTTACAGTATTCATTCAGAAATGAGATAATAAGTTTATACACAGACTTGTGAATGTTCATAAAATGCGAGCTCTATGTTTGACACAGTTCCTCACGCAAGAATTTCCGAGGAACTTATGATGGGAAAATAAGTATGCATAGATTTTAATCATCAAACAAATGTAAGTCTTTCTTGACGCGATTTGGCGATTTGTCAATATTCAAGGTAAAACTTTGATGTATCGTGGCCCATTTGAAGTATCGTATCGGGATATATGACGATGTAAAACGATGTGAGTGAGTGAGTGAGTGAGTGAGTGAGTTGGTTTTAATACCATTTTGATGGTATTACAGTCACAAGTTGACTCTAAAACAGCCCAAAGTCCAAAGTCAAGCATGTCTCAGACATTTTCCACTTTTGGTACCACTTTTGGTACCTGCGAGCACGGATACAGTGCTGAAAAGGCTTGAAACTGACTTGCAGAGAAACAGGATTCAAAATCCACAATCTTCAGAAATTAGCAAGCCCAAGGGACACAACTCTAACAACAAATTTTTGGGCTTTAAACACTGGGCCACCTGTGACTTACGTTTAATGCCGCTTTGAACTATATCACACCTTGACAAACCCATAACCATGATCAAGGCAAACTGGGATTAGAACCAGTGATCACAGGTTTCCGGCACATCCATGAAACCTCTTCAGATTTCAGTGCTGTAGTGGATTACCAATGCCATTTTGAAACGATGATTTAGTCTGAAATCTTTATTAAAAATAAATGTCCTTTCAATTCATTTTTTCACTTTTCTATATTTAAGTGTAAACAGAATGTGAAAACCAATACTAAATGTCATTTGAAACGTGTCTCAGACAAAGTGACCTTGAACTTTGTCCATTCTCTTCACCTGGCGTGACCAGTGTCCATAAACTGCAAGGAGGCTTGACCTGTCTCAGGGATCACCCTCTGTGTAACTTGTATATCTACATGAGATTACCAACATTACTAGAGCACCTTGCTGTTTAGTGGCAGTTTCATTGTTCCAGTCTTTGTAACGAGGGGGAGATCTCATTGTTCTGTATATCTACTAATTCCCTGCTTGATATCATCGAGGGTCTGTAAAGGGGGACATTTTAGTATCTAGTTTTTTTTGTGAAAAAAGAAAGATTTTTAGTCATGTGAGGTGATGTGAGGTGAAATTGGGTTTTACGTCATGCTTGAGAATATTTCGCTCATATGACGACGTGCATGCGTGTGTATGTGTATGTGCGGCTGCTTGTACTAGCCCAGACTTAAGCTGGTTTTATGGTGCTAGCCCACTGAGATACCATGCCGCAGTGAAGCATGAATACCCCACTCAGACACATTATACTGACTCCGAGCCGACCAGTCCTTGTTGTACCCATTAATGCCGAGCGCCAGGCAGGGACCAACAAGTACCATATTTTAACGTCTTTTGGTATGACGTGGTTGGGGATCGAACCCGCGACCTTCCGCTCTCCGGGCGGACGCCTAACCACTACACCACGGAGGCGGTCTTTAGTTATGTGAGTTTCCCTGTTGTATATGGTATGGACTAAAATAAAAATGTATTATGCATTATCTGTACTCTATCCAGTCTACCTATTATTTCTTCTGACTGTTCTTGACCTGTGAAGATCCGGGTTAGATTATTGATCTTCAGTAACCCTTGCTTGTCGTAAGAGGCGACTAATGGGATCGGGTGGTCAGGCTCGCTGACTTGGCTGACACATGTCATCGGTTCCCAACTGCGCAGATCGATACTCATGCTGTTGATCACTGGATTGTCTGGTCCAGACTCGATTATTTACAGACTGCCGCCATATAACTGGAATATTGCTGAGTGAGGAGTAAAACTAAACTCACTCACTCACTCTGAATGTTCTTCTCTCTCCCTGTCTACCCCAATACAAATTCCCCCTCCAAACAACCCCCAACACACACACATATCCACCCTCTTCCAAAATTTGCCCCTCTCTCCCCCTTCTCACACACACAAATTCCACCCTCTTCCCATCCACACAAATTCCCCCCCACCCCCAGACATCCTGCCATCTTTCTACACCACCACCCCATTCCACCCTCATTCTATTTACCCTGCCCTCAATTCCACCCTCTCTCCATGTACCCCAACCCCCTTTCCACGCTCTCCTCACCGCCATATAGCTGCAATATTGCTGAGAGCGGCGTAAATAGAGAATCTCACCCGAGTGTCTGTTGATATCAAATATATCACGAGTTGATACAAATATCTGAGGCTTGCCAACGATATTTTTACTTTTATCAACGAGTGTTGATATATTTGATATCAGAAGACACGAGGGTGAGATTCTATTTATCATAAAAAATCACTCTTCATTAGTTTTCCATGAAAAATGTACATCTCTGAACACAGTACTGCCATTAGATTTGCAGTGCAGCGATGTCATAGCATTGTGATGTCATCAAGTTCATGACATCATAGCACTGTCAGGGCATTGTGCAAAATCTACTGTCAAAGCGATATCTCTTAGGAGATATCGTCTGATCTCACACAAGCACTATCTCCTGTGGAACACAGTTTAGATGATCAAACTAACTCACTCACTCACTCTCCTCATCCACACCCTCACATTCCACCCTGACCCTTATCTACCCCTAACACCACTTCAGTCGTACAGCAATACCCCCTCAAACACTCAAAATTTGTCATACCAATTCCATTCAGCCATAAACACCTTCTCACCCCATGAACAATCATGGTCAAACCAATTCAGCACCCATCACATGTCGATTTCACCTCACAATGCATGTCACCAGTAATGGGTTAAGCCTTTGTCACTCACAAGCCAATCATCTCTCACTAGCATGTCAACACCTTCAAACAACGACAGCTGATCCTGAGCACAATTCCAACAACCATGAGATAAATGATCCCAAAGGACATACCAATGTTTGTTATTTACAAGCCACGATTTACCTCGAAAGGACGTGGAGAGTTCAAACAAAGGTACAAGTCCTACATGGGATCGCCTGAATGGACATTAGCATTGATAGAGTGACCAGTCCGTACAGCCACTTTGACCAAGGCTTAACTTG